GCTCATCGAATGTACAAATATAAAACTGTATTAAATAGAGGTAGGAGATTTGCAGATACACTTCCACCCTTTGATACGTACCTTCCTGAAATAGAAGCCCCTCCTTAAGATCCGTAACATCTTTAACTAGGTTCTGCATACTTATTCATACAAAATGCCATACACAATTATTTGCTACGTACACACCCCTCCATAATACAGGGATTCTTTTTCGTCAGTTCCTAGCCTTGCGTATGGAATCCGCTCTCATTATCCAATACTCCCCCTATAAGCTCCCCCGAATTCTACCGTGATCCCTAGATTACAGATAATTCTATTTTTGATCAAGTATTGTGCATACCTTTTACTGGTCCTGCATAATTAATTGTCAATGGGTGACATATATACACCCAGTTGAACTGTTTAAACTAATCATTTGCCACAATTTATTACGTAATGCGAAAGAAAAAAAGGTATAGCTTTCTGTCTTAAACAGCACTACGATCTTTATTCAAATGAATGGTGTGACATGATTTTGCGCAATCAAAATATCGAAAGAATCTGAAGACTATGCTTGCACCGCCTGCAGAGGCTGTCTACGCGTCGCTGGTGGTCGCGGAAAGGATAGTACGTTCTCATGCGATAACTGAAGGTTACACCCTATTAAAAAGTCGCCTCTAAAAGTGCCGCTTGGGTGATCAGCAAAGTCTGGTTGGTTTGTGCTCATTCTGGCCGGTAAAAGAGCCCACAGGAATAACTCACAGATGAGTTGAGAAAGAGTCGCAGTTTAACACGCAGTTGCAAGTATCCAATTAGGATAAATGGTAGTATAAGGAGTATTTATAGGGGGAGTACCGGATAATGAGAGCGGATTCCATACGCAAGGCTAGGAGCCGACGAAAAAGAATCCTGTATTACGGAGGGGTGTGTACGAAGTAAATAATATTTGTATGGCATTTGTGTATGAATAAGTGTGTAGAACCTTGTTAGGGAGGTTACGGATCTTAAGAAGGGGCTTCTATTTCAGGGGGGGTACGTATCAAAGGGTGGGTGTGTACCTACTCCTATAGGAATGTTTCATTAGATAAACTTCTTTGTCTTGCTCTAGCGAAATTGAACCTATGTAGGCTCATTACTCACCACCCATTGAAGGTGAAAGAACTGAGATACGGACATATTAGTTTGTCGTATAGGAACAGAATGGTCCAACAGTTAGCACTGGTAAGTTCGTTCTGTGGGACGGAGAACACCGTTCGGATAAGAAAGACTACCAGTCGGTAAAACCTCAACTATATTCAGATTTTGGTTTCTCTTCACATGCACATGTGTATCGATCGGATGCACATTCTCACACAAGACTACGGCTGAGGTATCGAAGTACAACGAAATAAAAGATTTGTCTATGTTAATGAAATATGCAATGACTCTAAGAGTTTCGACTGTAAGAGTTACATGTTGGTCTTATAACTCAATCGAAAGACTAAGTGGATTTATTATACCCAGAAAAGTTTCACTTTCGATCCTTAACTACCCAGATACCTGCTATCAGCATCTTTCAGGACTTTTAACTTGGTGGCGTACTTGTTGCACGATTTTTTACTCTGTCTACCATCTGCGACCCATGTTAGGACCAGTCGGTAGCGCGGCTTTAGTCTCGTACTAGTCGGGTCCACCTGTCGGGTATTAAACCCTTAGTCTCCCGGTCGGAACAGCGGTGTATATCTCACTGTACCGTTACAATTGGTTGGACACATACACTGGGGTCGATAATCAAAGACGAGGTTGACATGACCGAGGAGAACTGCCGATTTAGGTGAAATATGATATTTATATAGTAAATTTTGGTGAGCTGCTGAAGATTTATATTCGAAAACTTCTTTAGTGGGCTGTGAGATAAATAGTGGATAATAAAACCTACTCTTATGTACGCCATTACAAAGGTAAAACTCGCGCCATACTGTAGTATTTCGAGTGCTCACTTGAGTGAGTTCTATGGAGCCAGAAATGCTAAGAAAAATTGGCCCGCCAAGAACTTCTTAATGTTCGTGGTATTAAATGCCACTGAAGCGTCAGCCTCCGGAATCCTGTAAAGTATGGCTTTGTGGTATAGTAGCTAGTAAATATCGTAACAATACACTTTCAACACACCAACACAACAATTTCGCCGAGTTATGTCGCCGAGTTGGGCTGTTGCATTGAAATTTAACGAGACCCCTTCGTACGTTGAGATCCCCAGAGTCAATTCTCTGTCTAAGTCTGACATTACGTGAAAGAAGAAATTGACATGTGTCACATTGTGTCTATCTGTAAGTCTTTGTTCGTCTGTCGCGTGTAAATCGTCGATTTGAAAGAATCGTGCACGTTATTGGCTTAAACACAAACGCGGGAAAGAAGAGCGCAAGTGTCAATGATTCGCAATCACTCGCAGCGGACCTTTGCACATACCGGACTACAACAACATCAGTGTAACGGTACACTGTTGACTACGTTCTGGTTGACCAGTACGGAGTATACTTACACTGATGACAGTAGTCGACAGTGCCCTGCTAGGTGTTGAAGGAACACAGAGGAAGGAAAGGAGACGAAGTAGGTCAGACTAGTCTCTTGGTAAAAGTAAAACTGTATTCATATAACTAAGTCCTATAACTTCTTGAATCTCTGTTGTCCTGACTTAATTATACCAATATAACTATATGTATGATGACGTCTACTCACCACCCGTTGCGCGCGTCTAGCAGCGATTGGTGGGTTAATATTATCACGATATCAACCAATGAGTAGACCCTTCGGTCATCCCAACAATATCACCATGTCTTGTGATATTGTCAAAAGAATATTCGACGTAATATTCTTTATTGTCAAATTGTTTTAATGACAATTTCATGTAACGGGCTACCCCGTAACAAGAATGATGTGATGATGGGCAAAGTAATATTGGTTATTGATGGCATAGTCATTATCCCGGACATCCGTGTCACAGAACGAAACTCGCACGGGCGGTGAGGTGGCGACGCGGCCTCCATATCGGGCTCTGATAATGCCTCAAATATGCTCAACAACGTTGTCTTGTCGGCTATCGCTAGCAGTAGCTTAGATTTGGACAGAAACGCGGCCGTCGATGGAAACGTGTACCTCTTCCCTTCGTTCGACAAGCATCACTGGACTAAATCTTTCTGCGGAAGAAACACGACCGTATCCGTGGTCAACAACCACCTGTATGTAACCTCGAGTAGATTTCCAGAGGTCTAAGATCCAAGATAATGAAAGCTTTGTATGAAGTTGCGCACGTCTCCAGCAACAACAGGGGTATGAACGCGACCAACTTGTTTGGAATATGTCGTCATATAATATATGGCACTGGCCGATGGAACAACGTTGGTTACACAAAAAGATCCTTACTGAGCGGAATAATTAACCTCTCGCGGTTCTAAAACTAATGCTGGCGTGCGTTTGCAGTGACTAAGCATACGGTAACAAAGTTTTTTGAGTCATTCCATTCGGAACCCGAAGCCGTCTTTTTGCTGTTCCCTATACCACAGGTATGCGGGCTTCTTCATGACGGGGAGTGATTGGGTTTTATAGACAGCACCTGTCATGCAAAGCTGGTTCGTTGACTTTGCTGTTGTGCAGAATAATAATAAATTGACTGCACCTCACTCCGACTGACCGCAAACAGCGTTTTCAGTAACAGCATCTCCGATACCTACTGCGCTATCTGGCCTAATCGTTTTGAACAAGATTGGCCAGCCATGTTTCCTCAAAAGTGTCGACGACTGAGCGACGTCTTGAGCATCTTCGATGCAACCGATCTTTCAAATTGACTGGAGGTGCCGGATGTACTAAGTTGGCAGGATGGAGTGTGCGGGATCGTATACAATGGAGAAAATATCGGGCCTGACCGAAAAGACCTCATGTTATAAGCCAACACGGGATAATATATGAGTGCAATAGGCGATTGCAATAGCCTCAGTTGTCCAAGTCGTGCAACCCACGATATTTTGAGTAGGGTTGAGCCCGTTTTTTAGCCTTTACAAGGACGTCCAGGGAATATCGATTGATACGAGCGCAGACAAGTTCCGCAGATCAGCTGACACCCTTTCATTCTCGAACATGTATCATTAGCTCAACCACTTGTGTTTACTGTGTTCAATCCCTCGTTTGTCATCATGTGCAAAGCTGTCCTACATACGACCTGTATCGTGGTCAGCATATTGCTGTAAAGGTCCGTGCAGGTGTTGAAGGCACACGGACTCAGCTAAACACTACCTCTGAATGCCGCAGACCGCAACAATGGATTCTGTGTCGCGTGTTCGCAGTTGTTCTCTGCTGGTCGCACCAAATATTCTTCCGTGCTGGTGCCTCAAGAATGTGCTGTCTCTGAAACCATGTGGCCGCATCGACGGATGCTGTGTCGCGTGTTCGCAGTCGTTACCTCAAGTTCCAATCAAACGTTCTTTCGTGCTTACGCCTCAGCTAAAAGCATGCGGTTGATGCTCGTTATCTTCTGTCGGCGAACTAGCCACGAAATGGAGAACGTGATCCAGCATACGGTATCGCTGCTTGTTGCGAGAAAACAGGATGTGGGTACCCCCTATGTTCCATCGATGTGCGTGCGGCTGGACGCCTCATTGCCAAAAAAAGATATCGGCTGTTGAGAACAGATGAATTTGACTTAACAAGAAGAGACTTACAAAGCGCGAGTTGTACAAAGACGCTGCAAACTTTACAGACAAGCTCGGTGCGATCAACATGCCCCCCCCTGCATGCGACCACCCGCTAAGTTCGTTGACATTTTCACTACTGATTGGCTCACCCACCATCTGCCTGGCCGACGACAGTCGCATTAGAAGCTCCGAAATCGTCCACCCTGCTATCCAGCATCAACACGGAGCCTGTGCGCTCCATTACATGGCAAAAGTCGATGCTAGGTGGTCATTTCCAAATTACCTTGCAGTGCATCACTTTTACTCCTTAGTCTCGGGCTAACGCAACAAACCACCACGGCTCTTAGTACCTTGAAGATGTGCCGCATCCAGTACCTGTACACCTTCGCCGCAGCTCTCGCCTTTGCTGCCAAAAACGCTGCAGGCGCTTTCACTGTTGGCTCTCCATTGGGTCTAGGCGCTGGCACGACGGGAGGATCTGGCGGAGACGTCGTGTACCCCACTTCGAACGCCGAGCTTGTGGCGTACCTGAACGACACCAGGCCGTTTGTGGTTGTCCTCAACCGGACTTTCGACTTTCGCGGAACTGAAGGCACGACCACCGAGATCGGTTGCCGACCGATCAAAACTCGCAGGTGCATTGCGGCGCGCAACGGCTTTCAGGGTCAAGATGTGATTCTCCAAGAAGGTGGCATGAAAAACACAGGCGGGTGCACCAACGGCACGGAGGTGACGGTCACATACGATAACGCTGCTATCAGACGCGCGCTCGTGCGAGACAACAAGACCATCCGTGGCATTGGCAAGAATGGCGTGCTGATCGGCAAGGGACTGTCGCTGCGCAACAACGTGATCGTCCAGAACGTCCATATCACGGAACTGAATCCGCATTTTGTGTGGGGTGGTGACGCGATCTTTGTACCGGGCTCTAATGGCGGTACCACGGTGGGCAACAACGTCTGGCTCGACCACGTGAAGGTATCTCGCGTCGGCCGCCAAATGGTCGCGACGAACAGCGCTGGCGTGGCTGGAATGACCATCAGCAACTCGGACTTCGATGGACGCACGGACTTTTCGTCTTCTTGCGACGGACACCACTACTGGACTTTCCTTTTCTACGGAAGGAAAACGGCCATCAGCATGGTCAACAATTACGTGCATGGGACTTCTGGTCGTTCATTTAAAGCCGGGGGCGTGGAAGGTGTCAATGTCGTTGTGCACGCCGTCAACAACTATTGGGGCGACAACTCGGGTCACTCTTTTGATGTCAACGCCAACGGATACGTTCTCGCCGAAGGCAACTATTTCGACAACACGACTCAGCCTTTGCTTCCGGGCACGAAAGGAGATTTGTATGCGTACAACGGCATGGACGATGCGGACTTGTGCACAAGCTACCTCGGTCGACCGTGCAAGGCGAATGTTCTGGTGAACAGCGGTGGCTTTACGTCACGCAATGGAGCCCTCGCCCTCGAGGCAATGAAAGCGTATCCGAACATCATCGACTACTCCTCGGTGTCGACTTCTACCAGCAATGTAGAAAAGCAACATGTGCTTCCGTTCGGTCTTCCAAACAGTACGAAAGCTTCCACGTTGTCCTCGACGAAAGACTTAGCCAAAGAGTGGGCCGAGACGACCGGCAACTTCGGCGTTGGAAAGCTGAACTAACGTACGTCGTGTACATCGTGTAGCCCGTGATAATGTCGAATACCACCTTGATGTTGGACGTTGCTGTGGGAGGCCACATGGTTATATTTTGGACAGGTTGGTATTGTTGTAACGGGGCAGCCCGTTACATGGAAATTGTCATTTAGAAGATAATGACAATAAAGAATATTATGTTGAATATTCTTTCAACAATATCACCAATAGTGGTGATATTGATGGGTCGACATAAGAGTCTGTTCATTGGTTGATATCTTGACGATATCAACCCACCAATCGCCGCAAGACGCGCGCAATGAGTGGTGACGAGACGTCACCATACACTCAGTTATATTAGTATAATTAAGTTAAGTCAAACAGAGAGACAGTGGTTAAAGACTTAATTATATTAATATAACAATTCTACTTCTACCTTATCTACGCTTCCTCGTTTGCCACGTGTACGTCTGTCGGGCGCACCAAAACCCTTGCGTTAAGTTCACGCAAGGGTGTGCCCCTTACACCTGGTAGCACTTTGTAGCCCTTCCAAGGACCACAGCATCCAACATGAACATGTTGGACGATGAAGAGACCTTTCACGCCACGCGTGAAGGGTTTACCCATTTGAGTGACATCGAATGGAGTGCGGTAGAACGAATGAGTTCTACCGTAGGCGAGTTCGCCATTAGCGCCATGTTGGAGTCTCTAGACAGAGACCAACAACATGCCGCTATAGCCAATTTCATTCAAAGTGAACTTGTCGCCGAAAGGTAGAAAGTAGCCTTGCTTCACCAGCAAGGCTCTCAACAGGCCGAGCAGTTGAGAGAACTCGGTGCTCAACAGACAGAGCTGTTGAGACAGCAGCACTTCCATGCTGCTGTGGGCGGGACGACACATTCGCGTCGTTCCGAGGTCATGAAAGTTGACATCTCCAAGTACAGTGAAGTCCCGGAAGACTCCCTGTTACTGTGGTTTGTCGAACTCGACAGAGCCTTAAGGGCACGTCGTGTCGACAATGAGCAAATGAAACTCACATTTGCTCAAACTCACTTGGCAGGGCGTGTCAAAACTTGGTCCCTGGGGCTCGAGAGTAGCAACCCACATGTGTTTAGGTTGCTAGATGACTTCAAGTCCCGGCTCAGACAAACGTTTGAGCCGCCACGGGCTGAGTTCAGGGCTCGTTCAGAGCTCCTGAAACTCAAGCAGGGTAAGCGTGATGTGCACGCTTACGCTAAACATATAAGACGCCTCGCGAGTAGTATAACTGCAAACCCAGTACATGAACACACGTTGATTATGGTGTTCATGCAAGGGCTCGCAGAAGGGCCCGTCAGGAGCCATCTGTTCCGCCTTGAGCTGAATACGCTGGAAGAAGCGATATCAGCCGCGGAACAGGAAGACTTTAGCATGAGACAGGCTCATGCTAGCTCAAACTCTTATCGTCCACCGAGACGACAAGAGATCGGAGGTCCAGAACCAATGGACCTCTGTTATGTTGAGAGCGAGAGAACTCGCTCTTCAAACAACAAGCGATTGCAGAAGTGCAATCGCTGTCAGAAGATAGGGCACTACGCATATGAGTGTGGTCCTCCACGCCCAGTACCAAACAGTACTGAGCAAAATGGTCGTCCATTTGCCAGAAAGGGCAATGGGCGTGGGTCCAGCGCTGTTGCGAAACCGCAACAGCGTGACGGACCATCAAAAATGGTCGGTGTCAGTAGGGGCGGAGCGCCCTACTGATCCAGCAACCTCAAGAGAATTTGCAAATCTCTTGACGAAAGTTGCTCCAGATACACAATCATTGTGTGTCTCTGCACCTGGTGATGACGTTTCGCTCATCACCTTGAAGTTGGAAGCGACAAATGATTCGTCGCTTCGTGCCCTAGTAGACTGTGGGGCGTCGAACAACTTTGTTCGTCGTCAGTCACTAGAGGGTCGTAGGCTCAAGTTCGTTGAGCGCGACATTCCCTCACGAGGATGACGGTGCGCCTTGCAACAGGCGCATCGATAACCGTTGAGAAACGTGTAGTAGGAATCCACTACACGTTAGAGGGCGAACAGTACGATGATGACTTCATCGTACTGGATCTGGATGACAAATTTGATGTCATCCTGGGATTACCTTGGCTCAGAAGGTACGAGCCAAGGGTGAGCTGGCAGCATCGATCCGTGAAGATGCCTGCCGCTTGTTCATCAGATGGCCATCTGATGAACATCTTGGAGCGTCCACAAGCGTGTGGATGTACTGCGAGTGAGTGCGATGGCCTCACTTGCGGTACGGTCGTTAGCACGACTGCACAAGATCACAGTGTAGTTGATCACTACACTGTGGAGCAAGCTCCCGGCGGCTGTACATAAGTACAGGCTGCGCCGAAGGTCCACCACTCGAAGAAGTCGAGTGGACCGGGACATGGATGCATGCATAGCGGGAAGCGTCTTAGAAGAAAGAAACCTGTTGCTTGCAACGGGCAACATGAAAATCCTAGGTCGACTGGAGAGTCGACCGTAGAGGATCGGTGCCTGACTGTGGTTGCACAGCCACAGTCGGAAGACGTCGAGGGAATAAGTCCCCACGTACTTGAGGAAGGAATTCCTCAAGAGTCGCTTGCTGAGGGATTAGGCCCTCAGCAACCTGTGGAAGCAAGTTCCCAGGAAGAAACCGAGACGTTGAACGTTTTGGTCAATGACGGATCAAGCGTAGGCGCTTATACGCTTGATCTGATTGTGCCTCCGAAGTTAACTTCGGAGATAACTCAGTTGCCAACGCTAGAACCGAAACGGTTCTTGCGTGATCTGCGTAGTGGTAAAGTCAAGCAGATCTGCATACTCGTCACAGAGGATGAGTATGTGGACGATATTCGGTCGGCAACAGTATTTGCTGAGAACGAACGGGTTCTCAGCAGCTCATCGATGGACGAAAGTGTCCTCGATGAGAAGACTCGGATTGAGCGATACACGTCTCAATCCTGGGAGTCACTTCATGCAAATCTTATGTATAAGGATTTGGTCGAATTCAAGGACGTATTCCCTGAATCCGTACCTTGCGAGTTGCCTAAGGACAAATGCACTCGACACGAGATCGAGATCAAACCGGGCTCGAAGTACTGTGTCATGAAACAGTGGCCACTGCCTCGTGAACAAGTACTAGCTATCGACAAGTTCTTTGCCGATCGCTTAGCAGCGGGCCATGTGAGGGAATCAACATCCCCTCACAGCTCTCCGACCTTCTGTGTGCGAAAGGCCACAAGGAATGGCGGATAGTGCACGCATTCAACAAGTTGAATGCTGCAACGGTACCGGCTCAGACGCCTATACCGAGAAAGGACGTCATCATGGATGGTATGTCAAAGAGTACCATCTTTTCGTCCATGGATCTGATGGATGAATTCTATCAGATCCTCATGCGTGAACGGGACATCCCGTACACAGCAGTGAGCACCCCCAGCGGTATGCTGTGGGAGTAGCTAGTGATGCCACAGGGGCTGAGCAATGCCCCTGAAACGTTCAACAGATGTGTTACAAATCTGTTGAGACCGGTGCGAGACTTCGCACCGAGTTACTTCGACGATGTGTTCGTCCATAGCCGGGATATGGACGGAAAGACGGACGTTGAAGTCCACCGAACTCAAATTCGTCAGGTTTTTAAACTTATGCGCAAGCATAAGTTGTACGCAAACCTCAAGAAGTGTATATTCGCGGCTAGCAAAATACCACTTCTTGGGTGCATCGTGGGTAAACACGGCGTACGCCATGATCCCGAAAAGATCAAGGCGATCACCGACTGGCCAGTGCCAGTCGATGTCAAGGGACTAAGGAAGTTCCTTGGACTAGCGGCGTACTTGCGCAAGTACTCGCGCAACTACGCCGAAATGACGGTACATCTTTCTTGTTTACTCAAGAAAAATGTCAAGTGCTCATGGAACGCTGAGTGCCAGCGTTCCTTTGAAGGTATCAAGCGGAGCTTGATGCAGTCGCCGATCTTGATGCAGTCGCCCATCTTGGCGATTGCAGATCAGGACAGACCATTTCATGTGGTCTGTGACGCCAGCGATTTTGCGATCGGCTGTGTGTAAATGAAATTTGATGCAGATGGCGCAGGGCACGTCATCTGCTATCAATCGCGTCAGCTGCAACCAGCTGAGCGCAATTACCCAGTGCATGACAAGGAACTCCTTGCCATGAAGTACGAACTGGATAAGGTTCGCGTCTATCTCTTGGGAGATAGACCGTTTGTTGTCTACACGGACCATGCGTCATTACGCACGGCCGTAAACAGCCCAGACCTCTCGCAAAGAATGGCGAGGTGGCTGTCTTTCATCGCGGAGTATAACTTCTCCGCGGAGTATAAACCAGGCCGGCTCGATGTCGTCGCTGATGCGCTTTCGCGCCGGCCCGATTTCGAGCCGGACGCACAATCCAACAGTGAGGATAAGCCCACTGTTGCGACACTGTCAGTCAGTGTCCCGTCGTCAAGTTTACTTGACGACGTACGAAATGCATACGCGGAAGATAAGGATCTTCTGCGATTGATGGATCATCTGGTGAATCCATCCAGTAAATCCATGAGGGATTTACCGGCTTTGTACCGATCCTCATCGGATCGGTATAGTACACGCAACGGATTGCTGTACTATACAGCTGTTGCCGGCGACACGCCTTGTGTCGTCGTACCCGCTCATCATGATTTGCGATTACGCATCATGTATGGGTGTCACGATGCCTCAACAGGCGGCCATCATGGTAGAGAAAAGACTTACCTCACGGTAAGTCGTGACTTTTACTGGCCACGCCAGTATCGGTTTGTCCGCAAGTACATACGTGCTTGCGAGGTTTGTCAACGGGTGAAGCCTAGTCCTTCACCCCGTGCGCCATTGCAGCCTATGCCTGTTCCGACAGAGTGCTGGCAGTCCGTTTCTATTGACTTCGTCTTCGGGTTTCCCGAAGACGCTCACAAGAATAATGGTATTCTTGTGTTTGTTGACCGATTCAGCAAGATGGTCCATCTTGCTGCTGTTCCTGAGTCA